CCCACGAAAGCTCATGCTCCAATACGTCTGTTAGTCTATAAGGTGCCACAGGACTTTTCTGCTTTACTGTTACAGTTTAGCAGGTTGCTGCAGTGCTCAGGTTAAGGTGTGTGAGAGTCTCTAGATTGGATTAGAGAAATAACAATACTTAACTCTTGTATAACACTTTTCATCAGAAGGAATCAAAGCACTTTACAAAGGAGGTCAGTATCATTATCCCACTTTACAGATGGAGAAACTGAGGCACAGATGTGATTTGCCCAAGGACACCCAAGAAGCCAGTGGCAGAACCAGGAATAAAACCCATGTTTCCTGAGCCTTAGTCCAGTGTTCTATCCCCTCGAACACGGTGTCTTGGGTTTACTATGAATTTAAATAAGACTTCTGCAGTGAAATCCAAGAGATATGGATGCTTTAAAACAAACAAAGAAACCTCACAAACCACATATATTTGACTATGGAAAGTTATACACAAAGTACTGATGTGACACACTACTGAATTAACACTTCTATATGAAAAAATAAGTATTATTGTAACCCAAGGTATATCCATTAATATATTAAGATAAGGATGTTCCCTATAGCTGACTGGAAAAAACAGATTTTTAGCTTAAACTTTTCTAGATTTTAAAATTTTGTCTTGTCACAAATTGGGGCAAAGAGTCAAAATTTTGAATTTTGTTCATGAAGTTTATTCCAGAAGTTTCTTCAAGAGGAAACTTGAAGAAATCAAGAGGTTTTGTTAAAAAAAAATACCAAATTTCATTTTGACTTCAACCTTTATTTTTTTACAATATGTCTAAATTAAAAGTAATTTCAGAATGAAAAATCAAAATATTTTGTTCTGAAAATGTTGAAACAGAATGTTTTGACATGTTTAAAATATTCCATTTTCAATTATTTTCAAAATGAACATTTTGTCAAGTGACATGTTCCCGTGGAACGTTTGCTTTGCTAGTTTGGTATTTTTCCAATGGAAGGACGTTCAGTCAGAATAATTTGTGAATCGTAGTGAATTGCATTTTGGAGCAATTGAAATGGGAACAAAACAGAAAACACTTGCTTTGTATGAGAAAATGGAGATTTAATTTTATAGGCTTCTTTCCTAGTCTTTCTTCTGAGCATTAGGCTACTTCGCTCGTGGCAGTAGCCAACTTATCTGAATAAGCTTTTACAGGACAAAAGGGAATGGAAATTTATACCTGTGAGGAAGCTAGGTATCTCTATGAAAAATCACTTGCATCATAATAAAGATAAACACCACTATGAAGCAACAGCCTGCACATTGCAGCCCATCTAAACAAACTTCCTAGTTTACTTTAAGCAGAGTTTCAATACAACAGAGTTCTCTATATACACAAAGTAGCATAATGTGACAAAGAAAAGAGAAATATGAATATTTTCTGTCAGGGCCGGCGCTTCCACTAGCCGACCCTAGGCAGTCGCCTAGGGCGGCAGGATTTGGGAGGCGGCATTTTGCCATCCTCGGCGGCAATTCGGTGGCGGGGGCCCTTCCGCTCTGCGTCTTTGGTGCGCTTCTGCGGCGAATCCTTCACTCGCTCCGGGACCCGCCGCCGAAGCACCCCAAAGACGTGGGGCGGAAGGACCCCCGCCGCCGAATGCTCTGAGGAGGAGCGCTGCCGCCTACGGCAGCAAAAACCCTGGCGCCGCTCCTGTTTTCTGTAAGGCCTTACCTGACTTTTGGTTACCTTTTAGAGATGAAGTTTTCCAGGATCTCCCACTTGGGCTTTAGTGTCATATACGTAAAGAACATTTGGAACTAAGTAATTTTGATGTAGCAGCTCTGACTCAATCCCCAGATCACAAACTGATTCCCAGTACAATACAATAGCAACCACATAAACCACTGAAGCTCACGGGGACCCATCAACTGAGTGAGATTCTGTAGGGTTGATATCTGTACATGAGCTTAATTCATCCCAGACATAATGCCTAGAGCTGGTGGGAAGTTTTCTGACAAAACGTAACTACGTTTAATTTGAAAATGCCAATTCGCTAGCCCAAAATGTTTGGTAGACGCTTGCAGATTAGACAAAACTTTGCCAAAACACAGGCATGTTTCCATTGGAGACCTGCTGGGGTTGCTGCGTGAGCAGCTCCATAGCAGAGAGCCTGGCTGGAGTCATGTTTCCTGGTACTGTTAGGCTCGCTCGCCCCACTCTGCAGCAGATGGCTTCCCAGTCCCTGAATTGGGGCTGGGTCTCCAGGAGCTGTCAGCAGAGCCCTAGGGATCATTGGAAGCAGGCTGTCTACCAGGCAATATTCCCCAGGGACACAAAGATGGGGAAATGAGCGCAGAGGGTAACCCCTAAAAATTCTAAGGGGGTCGGCCACCAAGGACTCTCCCACCCAAGTCCTGAAATTGAAGCGGGGGTGCTGGGGCTTTTTCAGAGCATGGTTTTTGTGGGAATGCCCAACCACAATTCCAGTGATTTCTTTAGATCCCTTCAAGATATTGCCAAATTAATTTGTTTTGAGTTAAACTGATGAGTTCTCAGGGATCAAGTTCACTTTGAGTTTTTCAGGTTTGTGAAGATTTGGAAGTACTGTACACATGTTTTTATGGTGAAAGTAAAACCATATTTGCCACATTTAACACAGTTCTACTCTTAGAAGCCTTAAAATTCTATCTAATTAGGAGAGTTGCCACAGAGTATCTTGCACTACATATCTGTAAAGTAAGATCGCATGTATCATAAGTGAGTGTGGTTAAAATGGGACAGACGAGTGCAGATCACATCCCAGATCTAAATCCATTAATGTAGGGAAGCATTTATAGTTTTCCTTTCCACTACTATTTTTACTCAAAGGGAAATTAGTTAGTTCATTGTTGCCAACCATTGGGATGTTATTGCAAGTCCATAAAATTTGGTGTTTAATAAAGTTCCAGTTTCTGGAGCCATGCAAATCACAGGAGAAACTCAGATTTTTTTTTTTAATGGTTGTAGGGTAAAAACTTAGCATTATGAACTCTAGAGGCTCTAAAATCTTGATTAAGCCAAACTCATGATTTTTTGGGGGTACCTGACTGAAGATTTTTGAATATTTGAAGTTGGCAATATTGAGTTAATGAAAAAAAAATATTAGAACTATTCTACAGCAACATATGCTCATATGCACAGTAACCAACCCCACCATAGGGTGGCTCGGGGAGTGCTGTGGTACACCACCTCGATAGTGTTCTCTGTAAAAAAGAGCTTAGAGGCAAACATTGCAGGCTCTCCATAGCCAGCTCCTAGGCTATTGTGCCTGGGAGCTACTGCTCTTACTTGCATGCAGCCTCTCCAGTTAGCTCCCAGTCTCTCCTAAACCCAGTTCCTTGTTACCTCCTTTTCCTGTTCTCTAAGGATTATGGAGCCCTCTACTGGCAACATATTTAACTGAGTAACAGTGATCTCAACCAGCTAGTTGGTCCCCTCCAGCTCATTTGAGTGTGTGGGGTGCACAAGGAGGAAAGGTACCCAGTAATGAGCCAGTAAGTTCATTGCACTACTCCTGATCATTCAAAACCAGTTGACAACTACAGAAACCGGTATAACAATTCACTGAGAACTACTTGATACACTTGTCATCACTGGATGCATTGTGAAAGTGAGAGCTTTGAAAGGTGTAATTTGAGTCTAATTTTTCCTCTTTGCAGTTTCGACGATGCCTTTTGCAGCTCTTGTGCTTTCGCCTGCTAAGATTCCAGAGGACCGTGAAAGAAATACCAGTGTTAGGGAATGAAAAGCCAATAAGACCAATAGTTATGTCCCAGAAAGCTGGGGACAGGCCAAAGAAGAAAGTGACTTTTAGCTCTTCCTCAATCATTTTTATCATCACTGGTGATGACACCCAGCAAATGGACAACAGCAGCAAACACAATGGCACGAAAGTAAATGTGATCCAAGTAAAGCCACTATAGGGACTAAGCTACAACGTGTGTCAGAACCTGAATGGACTTTAGCCAGTTAAACTGTTTGGTCATCTTCTTTGATGATAGTGTAATGAAGAAAGCACTGTCCTTCAGCTGCGAAATACTGAAGCAATTCAGTGGGTGAAACTCTGAACAATTTAATCATGGTAACCGTATAGAAATCTTTACATTTGTACCCAACATGTTGCTGGACTCTGAATTTTTTTAAAACATGATTAATCAGCATTCCTTGCACCATAGACTTACCTGGGAAATGCAGGGAGTTTCAGAAGTAGGACTTGGGTTTGCTGACAAGAATCTGATCTTGACAAAAAAAAGTTGACTTTCAAATTGCCCCCTCTACAGTCAGACACAGTACAAAGCCAGTAGAAAATTGCCCCCTTTGTTTAGTCAAAGTTGTCCTGTTGTTGTTTTGGTGCTACTCATTAGGTGCCCGTAACCACTTTGAGAGGTGTTCCGGAGAAATAAAAATATATATTTTTAGAAAAAGGAAATAAAGGGACTGGTGAAGAGATGACAAAAAGGAGAGTATCAGAAATTTTACACACCACTACATCCTGCTTTAGTTTAAAAAACCCAACCAAACAAAAAACAAATAGAGGAAAATATAGATTAGCAGGGACTGAAAACCAAACCAAACTCATACACACATTTATCATTACATGGAACAGAGGCCCTGACTACTTTTTGAAAATTAAATCTGCTGTGATATTTGTGTGAGAGTAGCAGGTGTCAACCCAGCTGCTTCTGCTTAAATTTCAAATCTGAGTAATAACTTTTCCTTCTTAAAATACACTCAGCAGAACAGTTACAGAAGTTACTCTGTACTTACCTTCGTAAAAAGTCACGGGAATTATTGCTGGCAAAAAATAGTTGCAGAGCTGCACTCCAGAGGTAGCTGCATTTCAGCAGTAGACAAGTAATTCCTATGTTTTTTGGCTAGAATCAACACATGGGGCTTGAGTCTCCTCTCCACAACATTAGTTTTACACCAGTGAACTGTATATAAATCAATGGAATTTCACTGATGTGTAATGGAATAGAGAATCAGGCCCATAGACTCCTTGGGTGGGTGTTGTTTTAGGCCACCCCTTCAGCACTTGCTGCCGATAGGGCAATATGGAGCCCCAAGTATAACTTGCAGCTGCTCCATTCTGATGGAAACTGGAGGAAAAGCAGACAGTGGGGCAAAGGGACCAGGCTGTACACCTGTCTGCACTAACAAGAGTTGATCTGGCCTGAAAGAATTAAGCTCTCAAAAAAAATCAATAGGGACCAGAAACAAAAGTTCTCAGCGGGAGCCTGATCCTTGGAGATACTGACTGAACTCCACTCACATTAAAGTGACTGACCCAGTCCCCTCCCTTTCCTCTTTCAAGAAGGTAATGACAGGTGGTACTAGCTTTGAGCAGTCCTTGAACTCCTCAGACACAAGATTGAGATTTTTTTTCTTGCACCTATGCAGGGGTGCAGTGGCATGAAGTACCTTGTACACACACCCCTCTAATGCATCTGCACTGGTAATCTGGCTCTATATGCAATGTTTTAAATACACACACAAGAGTATATAAGCAGTAGTTCATCTAGGAAAGAACACAGGTGAAACACTTGCCTACTTCCCTCCCCCAATAGGCATTGATTTGAGCTGTTTCATGAATTCAGATACATTTCCTTAATGTAGGTTATCAGTTTCCATGTCCAGGACCCCTTTTTCCCCCACCAATGATCACTACTTATGCACATTTGTTTTTACCAAAGAGAAAGAAATGCACCAGAAATCCATATAAATTACCATCCTTTCACAGAATGGTATACGTGTGATATTTTAGCATTTTATGTATCTTGAGCCTTTTATGAAAGATTAAATTTACCTTATTTATAGTACATTAAATTATGGTCAAGTATTTTCTCCTTTTGAGAAGAAAATGGCTCTTAGTACCACCTACTGGACAAATCTAGAGTTTCTGAGGAACTGACAACAATAGCATTTCAGCTTTTGGACATAACCATTTTGCTTTTTGCCCTGTTGAAATTGCACAGAAAGCTACTGATTTATTTTATAAGGAACTCTCATAAAATCAACCTTCTTCAGAGAGATACTGTCATGGATTTTAGCCCCCAGTTCACATGGGTAAGGAGTTACCATGAAATTAAAAATAAATGAACTACTAGATTTAAAAATAAAAATTTTCCCCTGCAGTATTTGCAACCCCAAAACAATATATGTTAAGAATGTCACCATATATAACAGTGTGATAAAATAGTAAATGAAAAACAAATAGTGAAATTTACTAGAAATTGGTTATTTCTACACATAAGGACATTATAAAGAAATACTAGTACTGAAATTGATTTGTATATTGCTCTTATGTGTTTAGCACACTGGTATCCCATTTCCTCACCATATAGCTCCAACATTATTTTTGTTTCTTTGATAAAAGCAGCTTTGATGCAGACATTACAGCCAGTCACAGAATTCAAGGATGCGAATAGGCAATCTTGAGCAAGGACCAGCAGCATATTTAATATCTTCCATTTCTGATGTCCCCTGAAGTAATTGGCTTAGTTTGTAGCAAGGGAGATTTTTAACTACAGGTGACCTCTTGAAGTCCCTCACAGCCCTATATTTCTATGGTTCTTCAGTCTTCTTTGAGGATGATCATAGCTCATTAATCCATTTTATGGGAGACTAAGAGCCTGATCTAGCAAAGTGCTGAGTGAATGGAATAGGATTTAAGGGTGTTTAGCAGCTGGCAGAATAAGGCCTTTAACTGTCTAAAATAACCAAAGTACAAGAGGAAAAAGAGATAAGAAAACGCAGGAAAGGAGCAAAAGTTATAAAATTTAGAAATTCTTTAGACAAACCTGTTGCAGAACTGAACTTTCAATCCATTCAGTGTTTAAAAAGAAATAATCCAATTTAAGATGTTAAATTATAAAAATAAGACACATTTCAACTAGAGTGGCTAGAGCCTATGATCTAGCCCAGTTCATTTAAAATGTTTTTTTCATGGATTATAGCAATATAAAAGAAACAGATAATAATTTAGCATACAGAAAGCTATTAATAGCTCAGCAGTTGCAGTAGATTCAGAGGGTGAAATTAATTTGTTGTGCGGAGGATCAGCTGAAGGCCTGCTGCACCACACAACCCCTTCATTGGGGCTTTGTGGGGAGACTAGATATAGTATAGCAGTTCAGGGGCACCTCCACATCTCCTGCACGCTATGGAAGTGGTCCCCAAACCAGATCTACAAAGGCAGTTGTGAGGGGTTGGGTGAGTGTTGAGGATCTAGCTACTCCAACATGCTGCAAATAGTGTGGAGGGGATTTGGCAACTCTTCTGCAGGATAGAACCTGTGGGGACAGGAGGGCTACGCTGCACCTCCACTCCTTGGGTTATGGGGTGGGTTTCATCACTTCACCTCCCACAAAGGGTTGGATTACTTTGGCTTTATGCAGAAATGGACTTCATTCATGAGGAAAGGTAGAGCCTAGTCCTCCTCTCATAAGGTTACTAAAGTTAAGTCAATTAAGTACTAAGTCATTACAAGCAAACTATGGTTTCCAACTGGTGTGTCTTAACTGAAGAGATTACTGGAGTACTGCATTGTGTTTAACCATCCAGAACGAACAGTCTAATCATTGTCAAACTGGGGGAGGGGAGCATATCTAGTGGGCCCTCTGGGGGTCTGTCCGAGTGCTAGTCAATATTTTCATTAATTATTTGGAAAACGGAGTGGAGAGTGTGCATGACACCAAGCTGAGGAGGGTTGCAAGCACTTTGGAGGACAGGATTCGGTCTCGATAAATTGGAGAATCGGTCTGAAATCAACATGATGAAATTCAATCCAGACAAGTACAAAGTACTTCAGTTAGGAAGAAAAAAATCAAACACGCAAACATAAAATGGGGAATAAGTGGCTAGGCAGTAGTACTGCTGAAAAGGATCTGGAGGTTATAGTGGATCACAAATTGAAGGTAAGCCAACAATGTAATGCAGTTGTGAAATGGCTAATATTCTGAGGTGTATTAACAAGAATGTTTTGTATAAGACACATGAGGTAATTGTCCCGCTTTACTTGGCACTGGTGAGGTCTTAGCTACAGTACTGTGTCCAATTCTGGGTGCTACACTGTAAGAAAGATGTGAACAAACTGGAGAGGGTCCAAAGGAGAGCAAAAAATATGATAAAAGGTTTAGAAAACTTGTCCTATGAGGAAAGATTTTAAAAAGTTGGTATGTTTCACCTTGATAAAAGGAGTCTTAGGGGCACCCGATAACAGTCTTTAAACATGTTAAGGGCTGTGATAAAGAGGGCTGTGATCAATTGTTCTCCATGTCTACTGAAGTTAGGACAAGAAGTAATCAATTTAAATCTGAAGCAAGGGAAATTTAGGTTAGATATTAGGAGAAACTTCCTAACTATAAGGATAGTTGAGTTCTGGAATAGGCTTCCAAGGAAAGTTGTGGAATCCCCATCATTGGAGGATTTTACGAGCAAGTTAGACAAACACCTGTCAGGGATGGTCTAGAAGGTATACTTGGTCCTGACTCTCTTCAGGAGGCTGGACTAGATGAACTCTCAAGGTTCCTTGAAGCCCTATGACAAGGGTACACATCCATGGCTTATACTACACCAGCTTTCAGCTCAGGAAGAGGATATTGAGTGCACAGTGTTGAGAGAGAGAGAGAGAAAAGAGGCAACAAAATCTAATAGTAATAATGGAGGCTTTCAACTACTGACACAAAGTTCCTCCTCTATCTTGGTGGGTCCTGCGCTTATTGGCGGATTTTCTTGCCTCAGAGATTCACCATGTGGGTTGGGGAACAGCCCAGAGACCTTCCCCTCTGGAAGAACCCACAGTCCGGGTCAATTGGGAGGTTTGGGGGGAACCCGGGCCTGCCCTCTACTACCCACATATAAACAAACAGTTCAAATATTACAGGAGGACAAAGATTGGAGAAGGAATTTCTTGACACCTTAACTGACTACTTTTAATAATAGCTAGTTCTAGAGCACATTAAAGGAGTTTCTATTCTCAACTTAATCATAAGTAAACTCACAAGAGTTGGTTATATTATAACGATAGCTGACACACTAACAGTGGCCACAGTATTATCAGATTCAAATCCTGAAGGAAGGAACAGTACCAAAAACTAGCATGCTGACAGTCCACTTTAGAAAGGGGCACTTAAAAATAAAGGAGGGGAAACTAGTCAGAAAGGCCCTAAGATCTAAATAAAGACAGACTTCTTCAATTTGGCATGAAGTCTACTTAAAGATACAGTAACAGAGTCTTGGAAGGCATGGATATCCCTAATAAGAAAAGAGAAAACAGGGAGGCAAGGAGGCGGCCAGTATGGCGAAGTGGTTAAGTGCAAGAGGTTATTCAGGCTAAACAGAGATCCTTCCCAAACTAGAAAACCCACCCCAGTGAAGCCAACAGAAAAGATCATCTGGGAGACATTTTCAAAAGCATTCAGGAGCACAAGTCTGATTTTCAATGAAATTGTACTCCTACTTCCCTCAGGAGCTTTTTGAAAATCTCACCCACACAGTGCAGCAGAAGGAAATTAGGAGGGATAAGAAGGATTATTGAAGAGCAAATTGTCAAAGGTTTGAGACATTAATGAACGTATCAGAGACAGGAAGCCTGCAAGAGAACTGGTCAGTTCACTGAATCACCAAAGATAAGAATGTTGCAGAGAAGGTAAGTGATTTCTTTGCATCTGTTTTCAGCCCAGAAGATGTTGAGGAAATGCCTACTCCGGACTCACTCTTGTCAGGTAAGAAAGATGGGATACCATCAGAGACCATGTGTCAGAAAAGGAATAAATGGATAAAGTAAAGAGAATCAAGTGTCCATGGCTAGATGGTATATACCCAGGAGTTCTGAAGGAGATAAGAATGAAGTGGCTGAGCAGCTAACAAAAAGATGAAATCTCATTGACAGCAATGAGTATTCTGGAGGACAGAATTGCTTGAAGCAATAATTAATAAAAATAGAATTGTAAAAATACAGGATGACTATAATATGGTCTAATTATCATGTCTTCTGCAAATCTACTAGAATTCCTTGAACACATCAAGGAAACAGAAGCTAAAAGAGAACCAGCTGACAATGTTCATCTGGACTTTTTCAAAAGCCATTGACAAAGTCCCTTAACAAGAGGCTGGTAAGGAAATTAAGTAGCCATTGAGTAAGAGTCAAAGTACGGTCAGACTAGAAAACTGACCAAGAGACAGCGAACAAACAATAGAAATAAATGGCTAGTTTTCATCATAGAAGAGGGTTAAAAACAGGGTTCCACAAGGTTCCGTTGGGAGGACCTCTGTTGATTGATCTATTTACTGTCTAGGGAAAGATGTGACCTGTAGAGTGGCAAAAGTTGCAGATGAGTTATTCAGGTTTGTCAAGAATGGAGAAAACTGAGAAACAGAGCTGGTTAGAAAATGGGGTTTTCCCTAGGGCTGTCAAATGATTAAAAAAAAATCACAATTAACTGTGCGATTACTTGCTCTGTTAAACAATAATAATACAATACCATTTATTTAAATATTTTGGATTTTTTTCTACATTTTCAAATATATTGATTTCAATTAGAACACAGAATACAAAGTATACAGTGCTCACTTTGTACTTTTTTATTACAAATATTTGCACTGTAAAAAAGAAAAAAGAAATAGTATTTTTCAATTCACCTCATACAAGTACTGTAGTGCAATCTCTTTATCATGAAAATTTAACTTACAAATGTAGTTATGTACAAAAAATAACTGCACTCAGAATAAAATAATGCAAAACTTTAGAGCCTACAAGTTCACTTAGTCCTACTTCTTGTTCAGCCAATCACTCAGACAAACAAGTTTGTTTACATTTGCAGGAGATAATGCTGCCCGCTTCTTGTTTACAATGTCACCTGAAAATAAGAACAGGCGTTTGCATGGCATATATTGTAGCCAGCGTCGCAAGATATTTACATGCCAGATGCGCTAAAGATTCATATGTCCCTTCATGCTTCACCCACCATTCCAGAGGACATGCTTCCATGCTGA